CGGCAGGCAAAGCGGGAAGTCCAAAAGATTATGAAGAGCAGGAGGATAGGATTCGACGAGGCAAGGAGGATGTACATTGAGGCAAGATTCGCGAAGAACAATATCGGGCCAGATGGGTTGCCGAGAGACCCAAAGTTCGTGTCATTTTCATGAGTGTTTTGGGGCTGTGGTAGCACTGGGTGGCCGTGGACTTGTCAAAGCAGATCACTTGGGCTGTGACTACTAATTTCGTCGAATTTGACTGGGAATATATCTAGCGGTTTGGCGTCGATAATTTGAGCGCTTTGGGGATTCACAAGCGTCCCTCGGGAGTAAAACCTTCAAAACACGCTATGGGAATGATATGCCAGCCTTCTCGTGTAATATCATTATGTATGGCTTGAGCTTCCTTTAGCGATTTAGCGCTGGTTTGCGTGGCCAATGAACGCTCGTCAGTCACTGGGCTCGGGATTGCCAGGAGTTCGACGAGGAGTATGAGAATCAATGGAATACAATTAGCTTTCAGGGCAGGTCATGTTGATTGGAATCATTCAGATGCAAAATCAGTCTGTTTGCCATTACTTTACATACTATTATTGTCGATATGATCGTGCCTACAGCCTCGGTGTAATATCATGTCCGAGGCTGGTGAGGGTCTGTTCGGAGACTTGCGAAAGGCTTGAATATCTTCCCCTCAACTGATAAACATCGCTGGTTTGCTTGTCACTGAACGTGCCGGCTAAGCGGCATGTATCCACTCACCTCATTCATTGGGAAGACAGGCCTCCTATAATCTTATATGTCGTGACGGCAGCTAATCCTTTCTCTCGGGTCCCTTCGTTTCTCGTTCTTTGCCTGCTACGGTGCTCCCCCGAACGTTCTCTACTATCTAGCCCTTCCAAATCCTGGCTGTTGAAATCCCGGGGGCATCCCGGGTGGAGGGCCTTGGCCAGGAGGCGGTCCAAATCCAGGTGGAGGACCAAAACCTGGAGGTGGCGGAGCACCCGATTGGGGGAAGCCTTGCTGCTGAGAAGGGTTGAAACCTGGAGGCAGAAAGCCTTGGGGACCGCCATATCCAGCCTGAGAAGGTGGTGGCCGCGCGGGCAAGCCAGATGGAGGTGCAGGTAGAGGCTGCGAAGGAGGTGCGGGGCGCTGCTGCTGCGGTGGAGGTACGTTTTGATAATTCCCATTGGACATGACTGCGCGCCCATTCATGAATCCTGCGACACTGCCTGGACGTCCCCCATCACCGTCAATCATTGCAGCAGGAGCATTGGGTGCCCCTCCCGAAAAGAGGCCTGCTGGCAACGGCTGAGCTGTTGGTTGAACGTTGTGTTTCCTTGCCTGGGCTGCCAGCATTCTCTCAGCTTGGTCACCGTGACGTTCGCCCTTTCCATCTTTCTTGTATGCATATTGGACGGATATCTCTTTGTTCATCAGGTACTGGCCGTTCATGTTGGCAATGGCTTCGTCCGAAGCTTCGAAGTTTGAGAAAGATATAAATCCGTAGCCTTTGGAAAGATTGGCGTCATCTCGAGCGACCTGTCAACGATTAGCTTGTTCTAGCGAGGGGCCTGGTAATGGAATGTCGTACCTTTGGGGCAGAGATCAGACTGCCAAACCGGCCAAATGTGTCATACAACGTTTGTTCGGTAACCATGGGATCTAAATTGCCAACGAATAACTCTGCTCCAACCTCTACAGTCTTCTGTTTGTCCGCTGAAGCCTTATTGACTCTTATAGGCTTGCCGTAAAGTCTGACTTGGTTCATGATTCTTGCTGCATACTCTGCATCTTCCTCGCTGATGAACTCCACGAAGCCATATCCCTGATGAGTCTGGGTGACCCGATCCTTTGGTAGATGCACATTGACTATCCGCCCAGCTTGTAGCATCAATTCCCACACCAGGCTATCCGATACTCGTTCATCTAGATTCCCAATGTATACTGTAGCTTCCTTATCTTGTTCCCTGAGCCGAGTGTCAGTCGCGCCAATCACCACGAGAGTCATAACGTACCAGTGCCTAGCGCCAGACATGCTGGCCAGTTCTAAGTTCTTCGAAGCCTAGCAAGCTGATGCTTTAATCTGGATGAGATTGAGCCTGAGCGGTCGAAAGTATTCCCCGTATTTTAAACTCTCTAGTCTATGTATTTCATTTCTAGCGTGTTTTCGGACAAGTTGCCAATCCTTTCGATCTCAAACGCTCGTCACAGTGACAACCCAGCATCAAGCAACACCTGCTCGCACAAACAAACAGTGCGCTTCCGCAATGATGTGGCAGCCTTCTGAAGAGACAAAGGTATGCCCGCATTCTATCACATACGGCAGGTAATGCAGATTGCTCATTATTGAACATAGGAGAGGATCACCAAGATGATCGATATCTCCAGAGTTGCCATTCATTAGTACAACCTCTTACTTCCCTTGAGGCTTCCTAAGCTAACAAGGCTCAGTGGATATCTTCCGTTGATCTTGTATCTTGGTGCGACCTAATTTAGGCACGAAGCATGGAGGCAAACGCTCATTTTTGGCAGGCTACACCATGAGTAATCCTAAGCCAACCCTCATAAGGTAGGCATCGCAAGCGCAGATGTATCGGGGAAGTGTCTGGGACTTATCTAACATGAGAGCAGACTTATATCGCCCTTGGCGGAGTAGCTGGTTTCGGGGAAAATGGATGCGGAGCGCAGGGACCATAGCTCACGATGCACAAAAATCTAGGGAATGGGCTAGTGAAGGGAAGGCATCAATCGACAGAATGCCCTATGGCTGTGGGCATTGGGTCCCGCGATCAAGCAATAATGGCGGAGTGGAAATAAAAGCCAAATTATGGGCAAGTGACCTTAAGGTTTCTTCTCCGTGTCGAGCTTTTGTAAATAGATCATATTTCAACTCAATCCTGCAAGTTGGGTTTCCCTATCCACCACGCCATGAGTAAAGAATACCGACAGCTCCCTCGAGGGCTCATAGAAGCATTCGCGGGCTTTGCGGCTGGGATTGCGTCGGTACGATGTTGTCATAGAATTCAATGCCTGTCCTAACATGTCAGACTTTAGTTGCCCACCCGCTAGATGTGATCAAGACACGGCTACAAGGTAAAATCTAAGAGTACTTCTTCTGCCACGTACCGATACTGAAAGGTGAGTATCCTGGCCAGTTGACCGAGACTCTCCTTCACAGTTTGGGGGCTCGCTGCGACTGGTAAAAAGAATTGTCCGCAATGAGGGGACCATCAGCGCCCTCTACCGGGGCCTTACGCCTAACCTCGTAGGCAATTCGTTAAGCTGGGCCTTGTACTTTGTGTGGTATGACAGAACCAAAGAAGGGATTCGATCATATCGAGGATTCGAGAACGGTGGACTATCGTACTACGATTTTTTTATCGCGTCTGGTACTGCAGGTACGCCATCACCTTGATACGTACCTATCGCCATACTGACATCTGATCTAGGAGTCCTGACTGCCGTTGCGACGAACCCAATCTGGGTTATCAAGACACGGATGTTGTCTACATCTAGCAGCCATCCGGGAGCATACAAGTCCATATCTGACGGCACGCGACAAATCTACCGATCAGAAGGTCTGCTAGGATTCTACCGTGGCTTGGTCCCCTCACTCGTCGGCGTCTCGCACGGGGCTCTACAGTTTATGGCGTACGAACAGCTCAAGATCTACAGAGGTCACAGCTTGGACGGGGGGCAGAAGGATCTGGGAGCGGCAGATTTTTTAGTGCTCAGTGGGCTCGCAAAGATGTTTGCGGGAAGCGCAACATATCCGTATCAGGTTGTACGTGCACGGCTGCAAATGTACGATGCAGACCGCACATACAAAAGTGCGAGGGATGTCGTTGCCCAGGTGTGGAGGAAGGAAGGGTTGGCAGGGTTCTACAAAGGGCTGGGGCCGAACCTGCTCAGGGTGATGCCTAGTACTTGGGTGACCTTCCTGGTGTACGAGAAAACCAAAGTGCTGCTTCCGCGGATGCTGGATCAGAGAAGTCAAATATGATACGTTGCACGAAAGCTCTGATTCAATGTTGCATAAAACGAGACAAAGACTCTCTTGATGTCTGCACACCAGAAGGGTATGCAGATTATCTCTGCACATGGCATGTGCTTGCCAGTCACTGCTCTTCGATGCAGATGCCAGATTGGTACACTGGTGAGGGTAAGGTAGGTAAGTAAGGTGACAAGGTGATTATTATTATTATTATTATTATTACTATCATTACTATTATTATTATTATTATTATTATTATTATTATTATTATTATTATTATTATTATTATTGTTATTATTATGATGGGATAATAATCATCGCCTGTGACCTGTCTGAGTGGAATCGATTATGCATGCTTGGATCGAGACCGAGACCCTCGTTCATCAAGCGCTAAATTAGGGCCCGTTCATTTTTACTTTAGGTCCCGAGCTGCTGCATGGCACCTCCAGCGGCCCAGAAGGCTAAAAATTAGAGGTGTCTCCGCCCTGGTGCGCCGAGTAGTTCCTCCTTCTGTGTCGCTCGCTCCACCACCTTTCTTCCAATTCTCATCATCTTTACTCCTCCTTAACATTACCTCAGGAGCAGACGCCTCAACCCTTTTGCTTCTGATCCATTTCTCATTGCTTTACTTGCCACCAATACCTCCCATACGTCACCAATCCTCAACAGCCATACTGCAGTTTGACTCGTGGAATTTGGCTTTCGTCATACGGTCTAGCTCTCTTTCCCTACCTCCTTCGTGCCTGGCTCCCATCGACGTGCTCCAACAGCGTATTTGGGCAAATATTCGATTGCCAACACCATTCAAGCACCTACGCGCTCTCTACAGGCATCGAGAGGCCGAGATCGTCCACTGTCCGTGCGTTCCACGTGCGGCTTTTTCATACCCTCGCAAATATACCATAACTTCCGATCGCTGGAGCAGCACTACCTTCCTCCTCAAATCGCAATCCCACGTCTGAATTGTTGGAAGATCTGCGAGCTGCCGTCGCCAAGACCACGCTTGGAGCGAATCTCAATCAACATGTACAACGCGCATCGTGGTGGGATGGGGCCGACATCCGCCAACAACAGCAACAATCGTTTGTCAGAGTTGTTTGATCAGATCCGAAGGGAGTTCGATGTCCATGCACAGGACAGAGCTGGTGAACATGATCAAAATAGTACGTTGGTTACGTTTCCTGAGTGATTCGCGAAGGCGTAGCCACTGCCTAAAGCTGCAGTTGGTCGCTGCTTCGTTACTATCAAAGTTGCAAGAGATCCTCAAACATTGTTGTTCTTCCTGAATGCTAGCTCCTCACAAGCCCACATGATCAGGAAGAAGCATGAGAGCACAAAGAGAGCGAGCACTTTCGAAGAGAACGCTGACACAAGCGGAAAATATAGTGGCGGCTCAGATGCAAGAGATGGAGCTGGTTAGACAGAAGGTGTACGAATTAGAGCGTAATCAGATGCAGATCAAGCAAAGGTACGCCGTCGCGCTAGCGGCATGACACCGTAATCGCTAATGATTTGAACCAGATACGATGAAGACATTGCCCGTCTACGCCACGAGATTGAAGCTCGTGGGGGGCCCCCTTCGCATGTAGGCGTCAGTGGTTTACCGCCCCACGGTGGAGTGGCACAGCCTGCGCCTCCAGCAATTGGTCACGGTCCAAGCAACTTGTTTGGTGGCATCATGGCAAACCCTCCGGGGCAGGGTAACCCTGGCTTGGTGCCACCCTCGCAGGATCAGCAGCAGCAGCAAGGTCCACCTCCCCACCAGATGCCTCAACCTCAGCAAGGATTGCAGTCCGGTCCTTATCAGGGAAACTATCCTCAGCCGCCAGTAGTGAACGGTAAGACGCAAACGTTTATGGGATTAGGATCGTCGTTGGTAGCCCGTCCAATGCTGACGTATGTATACAGGTTACGGATCGCAAGCGCAGATTGCTTCCCCAGGTCCTGGCAAGCCACGCAACAACCGCGGGCCTTTGGGCCATACGAATACCCCGCAGCAGTCTCAACCTATGTCTTATTCGGGAGCTTCCCCTCAAATGGGAAGACCAAGCCCTCCTCCGCCGTTCCACAACGTTGGCAACATGCTTGCAGACCTGGATCCTGATCAAATGAGGCCAGAACAGAAACGTGATGGGAACGATTGGTTCGCAATCTTCAACCCCAATGTGCGACGGGTGTTGGATGTTGACCTCGTTCATAATCTTCTCCACGAGAGTGTTGTTTGCTGCGTACGTTTCAGCCGCGACGGAAGATATGTGGCCACTGGCTGCAATCGCTCGGCGCAGATCTTCGAAGTCTCGACTGGCAACCAGGTTACTAAACTACAGGACGATTCAGTCGACAAGGACGGCGACCTGTATATTCGAAGCGTATGCTTCAGTCCTGACGGATTGTACCTCGCGACTGGTGCAGAGGACAAGCAGATTAGAGTAGGTCTCTCAATGCCTTGTGTTGATGTCAAAGGTCTGACTAATCCTCTACTATAAGGTTTGGGATATTCAAAGTCGTACTATCAAGACCACCTTTGCGGGCCATGAGCAGGATATCTACTCTCTAGACTTCGCTAGCAACGGCAGACACATCGCTTCTGGAAGTGGCGACCATTCAGTCCGCGTTTGGGACATGGAGTACAACCGCGAGTCTCTCAATCTTATGATCGAAGATGGCGTCACAACCGTAGCGATCTCCCCTTCAGGCGACTATGTCGCAGCGGGCTCCCTTGACAAGAGCGTTAGGGTCTGGGACGTACGCAATGGCCACCTCATTGCCAGACTCGATGGTATGGATGGCCACAAAGATAGTGTTTATTCTGTTGCCTTTGGACCGGATGGCGAAACCTTAGTTAGTGGCAGTCTGGACAAGACCATCAAGATGTGGCAACTCTCTCCTGACAATAGAGGAGGCATGATGGGAGGTGGAATGATAAGAGGTGGGAGGTTGGTGAGGACCTTCGAAGGTCATAAGGTAAGCGAGGCCCTCCGCTCGCGCGAACGATCGAAGGCGGATCCTAATACAAACCCCGCAGGACTTCGTTCTCAGTGTGGCACTTACTCCAGATGGCGAGTGGGTACTGAGTGGTTCGAAGGACCGTGGGGTCCAATTTTGGAACCCACGCACTGGCGACACACAATTGATGCTTCAGGGCCACAAGAATTCAGGTACGATGTTTGTCCTTAGCGGACTAAGACTTTTGCTAACAGCTGTCCACTACCCAGTCATCTCCGTTGCTCCAAGTCCTCAGGGTGAGTTGTTTGCAACAGGTAGTGGAGATATGCGTGCTAGGATTTGGAAGTAAGTTGCCTCTGCATCTCGTCCTTGCATGGCACCAGCGTACTAATTCCGAACCACTACAGATATGGAGCTTACCGGGGCACTTAGACATTAGTCAAGAAGAGGGCCGGTGTTAGAGGGACTGGGTGGACTGTACTCGCAGAATTCAGACGATCGTTTTCTCAGCAAATTTCAATGGAGGCGGTCTTCGTTAGATACCAGGAATAGGTGAATTGTCCAATGGATTAGTATCCCAGTAATCGTATCGTTGCGAAACCCTGCCCTATCGACTCCTGGCCTTATAAAAAGCAATTTTCGGGCGATTTAAAAATGTGTCTCACAGTTATTGAAGAAAAATGAATGACTAAAGCTGGCTCTTTGCCTGCCAAAATGTACCGCCAATGCATGACCAGCTAGATTATTTCTTGACGCTCTACGACTCTTATTTACGGTGCAATGGCTACTTGAGCCTAAGCGCGGTTGGCGCGCTCCTATTCTCAACCGAGCCTTCTCCCACAAAAGTCGTACTAAGATTTGATTTGATATCCATTGCAGAACTACATTTCAAGATGACCGAACACCTGCAATCGAACGTGTCTCAGGACCTTGTCTGGGAGATATGCCGTATGTTTCGGTATGCCATCACTTCGTATGGACCTCAGTCCTAATGAATCAATGCCAGGTCCGAACAACGCATTCTTGGTGAAGCGCAAAAGCGGAGGGGGTTCCCAATTCTCGAGAGATCCTCTCAACTTGATGAACAAGCACTCTAGGAAGGTAGGCTGCAACTCCCAAGCTCACTTATTCAACGACTGACGATAACCCTAGTATGCCGGCTTCGTCAATAACAAGGTACGCAATACTAGTGCTCTCGCACCAAAAAATGAATGCCTAGATCGCTCGAGAATGGAAGCTGATTGCTCTCCTTGGAGTAGGCCGTTGGCATTCATCCTGCAGAGAAAGGCGGCGTGACGTTGGCTACCAAAAAGACAAAGCATCTCAATCGACCGGCAGTCAACAAGAACGAGGTCTCGTGGAGCGGGCAGAAGTCGGGACCAAAGTCAGTCACCGCTGTACGATCCCGAAGTTTGGAGTTCAAATCTGCTGACCAGCTGGCAGAATTTACAAAGGTATCGTCAATTACACAGCGAAGCAAGGCTACCGAGCAGATCTTCGTCAAGAGGCCGTTGCTCGCGCCAGTGCTATCCGCGAATCACAGAGACCAAAGAAGGAAGATCCTGAACCGAAAATTCGTGGCTCAAAAGCAAAGAAGGCGGAAGAGAAGTCTACGTGATGAGTCTTGAAGGGAGATGTGACAGGGCTCTACCATGCTGCCACATTGCGAGGCAGTACCCAGCTCGATCTTAGCCCACACGCAATACAATACGGAGTCGATGCATTTCTTGCGACCGCTCTGCTTTGTATGAGAGGTATGCTGAGCGTTGGGGAGATGGTGTTGTGCTAGAGACCTTGTAAAGCCGCACAAAATACCAACATGATATGAGAGTCTTTGCTCAGATGGACGACGTATTGGGATAACGTTAGAAATGTGAAAGTTAAGGTAGGCATCGTAGACATAGGTAGTAGCTTCATAAGTCGATAACCCAAAAAGCAGATTCTGAAGTCTGTCAACGGTCAAACTCAAAGCGCCTTAGTGCCAGTCGGCCGTTCATGACCCCGCGAGCCCGCCAAAAACATTCAGCCTTCTTACTTTGGTGGGGTTTTAGGGGGGGGGGGGGTTTCTCCGGCCAACCTCCAACCAACGCATTCGATCAACCTCACCGACTGTCCGACAAAACCTCTTTCCTCTTGATCCAATCTACCCGTTGCTGGTAGCGAAGTCAAATACGTTTTCTTCAAGTCCTCAAATTACTGACGGGCAATTGCAGAACATCTCGTACCTCGTCTCACTCAGTCAAGATGGTCAAAGCAGGTAGGCATTGCCGTTAGCACAACGTTGGCGTTCCCTTTTCTGACAGCTGTCCAGTCGTTCTTGGGGCCTCTGGTGGCATTGGTCAGGTAGGGAGCTCTTTGCTGAAACATGTCAAGCAACTAGATCAGTGCTGACGTTGCTTCGCCCAGCCCCTCTCCCTTCTCCTGAAAGCCAGCCCATTGGTCGATGAGCTCTCACTCTACGATGTTGTCAATACTCCTGGCGTCACAGCCGATCTCTCTCACATCTCCTCAATAGCCGTATGTGCCCCTAAAGAGCGTCATTTAAGGTCTGGTAACTAAGAGACAACAGAAAATCACGGGATATCTACCTGCTGATGATGGCTTGAAGAAGGCCTTGACTGGAGCAGACGTCGTACTCATCCCTGCTGGCATTCCTAGTCCGTAATTCGAGCTTCAAGCCACGCATTCAAGAGCTGACGGAGAAACAGGAAAGCCTGGCATGACCCGTGATGATCTCTTCAAGATTAATGCTGGCATCGTTCGCGACCTCGTCAAAGGCATTGGAGAGTACAGCCCAGAAGCCTTCATCTTGGTCATCTCTAACCCAGTAAACTCTACTGTTCCCATTGCTGCCGAAGTCATGAAGCAGGCCGGCAAATTTGACCCAAAGCGTCTGTTCGGTGTCACCACTCTGGATGTCGTCCGCGCCGAGACTTTTGTTCAGGACATCACTGGCGAGAAGGACCCTTCCAAGACCGTCATCCCTGTCATTGGTGGTCACTCTGGCGAGACCATCGTACCTCTTTTCAGTCTCGCAAAGCCTGCAGTTAAAATTCCGGCAGAGAAGCTCGCGCCTCTAATCAAGCGTTCGTCACTAGCTTCCTGAAGGTAGTCATCTTACTAACCAGAGGTTAGGTGTCCAATTCGGCGGAGATGAGGTCGTCGAGGCTAAAGGGGGCGCAGGATCCGCAACTCTCTCCATGGCATACGCCGGTTTCCGGTAAGGACGTTCATGGTCCCTCGTCAGGCGCATGACTTGCTAAACTTTCTGCACCTAGCTTTGCGGAGAAGGTGATCAAGGCTGCTAAAGGCGAGAAAGGAATCGTTGAGCCGACGTTCATCTACCTACCAGGTGTCACTGGCGGCGATGCAATCGCCAAAGAAACTGGTGTTGATTACTTCTCTGTACCTGTCGAGCTCGGGGTACGTCTGCAACGACCTTCCTCCCAAAATGATGTGTATTAATTGTGCTTTAGCCCTCTGGAGCGGAGAAGGCCAACAATATCCTCCCACAAGTAAATGATGACGAGAAGAATCTTCTCGAGGCTTGCAAAACCGGGTTGAAGGGCAGCATCGAGAAAGGTGTCGAATTCGTGCACAACCCACCGCCAAAGTGATTCACCCATACGTCGGCTTCTCGTTTGTCTCGGCTTCCCCACTTCTTTGATACTTTATTTCATATCTCCCACATTCACGATCCCTCAAGTGTCTACCCCAAAAGCATTATAGGTAGCAAAGTTTGGCTAAGATCATCTCACTGATCGAAGCATTTCCAAGTAGGCTATGAGATCCCGCTCAAACAATTGCGCAGGCATCAGCGGGCAGCAGGGTTATATTTCTTAGCTTCTAGAAGTCTGCAAGCTCACGATAGAGACTATAAGCAAGGCTTTTAGACATGAATTCACGGACATCTTTTCCACATGTCTATCAAATGCTTTTGGTCGTCATCGCTAGCAAATCGAACACCAACCATGCCGCTAAGCATCAGTGAAAAGCAATGCAGATGATGGGTATCAAGATTTAGCAGTGATAGTCTTGATCTGAAATGTTGCAGCTGGAAGTTCTGAAGTCTCCGCTTGCACCATCGCGTTGATCCCCATGCTTGCCAATGTCCCTCGAATAATACCACATGGAAACCAGAGAAACTTCAAGGAGCGTTAGCATGCTAGCAATCTGGGCTCCATAGCAATCTGGGCTGTACCGGTTGCGCGCGGTGTACTGCTTCCGACGACGACACCATGCTCATGCGTGAGAATGGTTTGAAGCTGTTGTCGGTGAGAACGTAGACACCCTGCATACCCGTTGATCAGCAAACCCTACATGTTCGGTTCCTGAAAGTAAAGTGTAGACAATCCATACTCGGTGGTTCGTCTTCAGGTTGTCGATCTGCTTCCTGAATACCAGCGTCCACATGTCCTTGCACAAGAACTTAATCACGTCCAATGTATCTGTGAATCGTGGCCGATCTCTCGAGAACCTGTCCGCAACACCAATCATGAGCAAGCAAGATTTCTTGACCGTGGTTTCCTGTAAGCCTCTCCCATCTTGCTCGCTCAGCACACTCAGAAAAGACGCCGCCTCACCTCTCAACAAGCCCTTGCCCAACTCTATAACCTAGCGTCTCCAGCCTCCGACAAGCAGCCTCCTTCTGTCCATCTTCGTCCAAGGCCTTCAAGCCATCTTGTTCCGGGTTTGCAAGCTCGCTGGCTAGTCTGTAAGCCATCGGGACCATTTCGATTAGAAGCAGATCCATGCAAGATGCGTTGAGAAAGGTTGCGTAAGGATCCGAGGCATTGTATGGGGGAAGTGGTGTCTCGAAGGACATCGGGACGGCGGGCTGGGAGAAGAAGGACTTTTCCGCGTCATATGGGATTGTGAGACCTCGATACGTCAATGATCATTTTCGGCGTGAAGGAATTGCGGCAGAGATACGTTATGTGCGTACCGTTTAGGTGGGAGGTTGAATACGTTTCAAATGCCAAGAAAATGAAACGAGTCGAACGAAAAATTTCGTCTCCAAAGAGCCTCATTGAGCTTGGATATCATGTAAAGGATTGTTCGTCAATACTATCTAAGACGCTCAAGCCAACGCAGTTGGGGTATGTATGCGAAAAAGCTGTCCGTGCATTTCCTTCCAAGCCTCGAAACCAGTAATTTGAGCAGCTCCTCCGCTGTTTGGAAGACTCCAGAACCCCTTGCAAATGCCGCTCCTATCTCATGCGCCCTACATCACCCTGACAATAATGGTGCACATACCCGTCGCGAGAAAGAAACGAGCTAGTGCCGAATTTAAAGGAAAGAGACCCAGGGGGTTCCTGGCCCCAAGACCTGGACACATCAGACTCATCGTGGCTGCGTGTACTCTTTCGGCGTATGATTTGGGGTGGTGAAAGGGTTCGAAGATGGTTGTCTTGGAACACCTCCATTCTCTCCATTTGTCCTTAAAGGCACGTTTTCCAGTCCAGGGAGTTTGCCGAAGCCACTCGAGGATTTATGGACCAGTTGCTGCCTTTTGGGGCCTCTTGGTGGATCGTCGTCCTCATCACTGCTCAGAGTCAGGTCGACTACCTGACCTGCAGATCGCTTATTACTGGGCGGCGGTAGTGGTGCTGAAGAAGTCGAATGTTCTCTCGATGAGATCGGAGGCGTTCGCATGAGTCCTGGCTCCCGAGAGACCTCCGTTTTCACGGAAGCAAGTCGCGGCAGATCTCGAATTTCTACGAGGTCCTCTTCACCATCGCTACTGGTGCGTCCGTTGCTGGTTCTCGGTGACGGAGCGCCCCCTGCAGTTTGGGACCATGTACCATTGGGCTCAATGGTAACTTGGTCGACCGACTTCGGTGTCGATTTCAAGATATCGGCTACATACCTGCATATTCGTGTTAGCCACAATCCATCGACAAGTCCAGAAAGGGTCACTGACTGGTCGACTTGTAGATGTTCGTAAGCAGCGGCTTTATTACAGACAGGGCAGGTCCAAGTGGGGGCTTGCTCTTGGAGTTGAAGGAAAGACGAGGCATCGAAACACTGATTGTGACTGCAGACCGATGAACGGCAGGGCACATCGATCCTCAGCGTCGACAATGGACATTTCAATGACATTATTGAGGATGTTGCTACGATTTCCGTGTCTTCCGATCTGCTTATCACTGAAAATCGATGGTCAATATTGTCAAGGTTGATTCCTGGAGTTGAGACTACCTACTCTCACGTACGACTTGCTCTTTCGCTATTGTTTTACCAGACTTGAGCTTCGCAACCAGTTCTTCCACGGGATGACGCTTAACAAGATTGACCACTATCAGAAATCTCTGTAAGTGACCATTAGCTAGTACTCTTGACTCTTAGGATTTCATTACGGGACTGCATCTCATCGTCGTCCAAAAAGACTCACCTTCTTGGTGAGTGCGTATGTAACTATCATGTGGTTATCGTAACCTGGTTTGGGCCGCAGCATTGTGGTGACATCCACAGGTCTCGTTGTCCCCGGCTTGTTTTTGAGGCCCCTGAAATTGGCTTTTACTTCATCTTGATTGATCTTAATCTCAAGCTGATAGGGAAACTCAATGTCGACTTTTGAGAATGGCGACATGGGTTCTGAAGCAGAGTATATCATGGCTCTTGTAGAACCATCCTCACTGAGTCTCTCCGCAATGTCGGCACGAAGATTGATTATCAAATTGACTGTATCTCTTGTCTGCTCTCGGGCTGGAACTTTGTGATTAATCACAGACGTCAAAAAAACACGGACCACTGAATATGAGCATCGGGAACCTAACCTAACGCACCTTTACAATCTAATACTGGCGACAGAGGTTCCAGTATCGAGTAGAAAGGACTGGCTTTGAATTGGGGAGGTCCTACTCTTATGTGAGCACTGTGACTGTAAAAACGCATCAAGGCCGTACATACTCGGCCCTGTTCCATTTATGCTTGGTGCCATATTGTGCGATCCAGGTCTGATAGAGCTGCTGAAAGAGTGCTGGTAATGGTTTGGTGTTGGTACCGAATTATTCGGATACGTGCGAGCAGCAGACGGTGAGGGGGATCGGCGGATTGGATCTAGATCCGGGTTGTTAACGAGGCTCCGGAGACGACTGAAGCCTTCTATGTCGTTATTGTTTCCGTAGCTGTAGAGTTCTGGAAATGGAGTATGGCACGGTCAGCTTATCGGATGGCCTATAACGTTGTTTAAAGTACTGGCCACAGAAGTCTCATATCCACAGTGCTTTTTTGGATAGACCAATTTGATTGTGAAGCCGTGCTGCATGAGACTCACTATTGATGATCCGCGTTTGCATAGCAGCTTTGGCGCCTGAGACTGGAAGGCTTTCCTTTTTCAATATTGTCTTCAGTTGATTGTTCATCAGTGTCTTCACCTTGGCAGACACAATATCGGGGTTGAGGGCGCCTGCGGAAGCCATCTTGGAGCGACGTGAGCGTTTTGGAAATGATCAGTAAGAAGGGCTTCTCGGCCTGAGAAGGCGAAGACGTGGGGTGTTGTAACCCAATTTTGACATGTAGGAAGAGAGAGGATTTAAGAGGGAACACCAAATCTTCTTGAACTTCAATTGCTGCAGGTTTGGGCTAAGTGCTGAGACAATGACGCTGAGACGGTTCTGTAGTGTAGAGGTTGAGCGAGTGATGTGAAAGTGCGGTGGAAATTCCGCGCATAAAAAAACACTTCACTTACTCCACAACCCCCCAAAACAGCCTTCCTTTCAAACGTCTACTTCATGCCAGAACCGTCAACGCGCAGATAGCTCGGACTTCCCTAATATTCCAAATAATTGTTTAGATTCTTCGCCAACTGCACACGGAAGAAAACAATCTTTCCACCCAGGCATTACAGCATCGCCCACTCCACTCCTTCACTGCTGCAGCAGAACAGAGTCGTCCCACACAGAGCATACAACGCCACTTTGAATACCGAGATCTACACTTTCCACGGGCATGGCTAAGGGTCTAAGATCAAGCCGAAACAAGGCAAACAAATCAAAGCTGCGATCCAATGTCTTTGGACCCGCGGAAATTGCAAGGAAGGAGCGGTTGTCAGCCAAACTGATTGAGCTCGCCTCAAAGATCCAGTCAAATCCTGAGGAGGACCTGAAGATGGTGGATAGAGAAAAAGGTTGGCGTCTCCATGAACAGTCGCTACGGACCCAAGAGTTCTCTGACTTTGTGGACGCCTAGTGACAGAGCAGGAGATCGCTAAGGAACCAGAGGCACACGTCCCTGCAAGCGAAGATGGTAGGCTTCCCTTTCCGGAGCCTTCACTTGTAGCTCGACGTGCTAACGCATCTCATTACATCTACAGAGATGGATAACGATCAAGCAAAACAACCCAGCTCTACAACGGAGTTGGTATCCAGAAGCACTAGCCGGGTACAGAAACGAGGACGAGGCAAAGCAAGAGCTTCGATGGTTTTTCCTATCTACAAAAAAGGAAAGAGGGTTGGACCACGCTTGAGCGCGAGGGACAGAAAGAAAAGTCTAAGACCTTGAATTGTGTGGGTTTGCCCCAGTTGGACTGTATGCTATGACTTGTGCACCGGCGTCCCATAGATGAGTAGCACAGATGAGTAGCACAAACTATGAAGGTTGCTGTTCTGTCTCAATGTTCTGGAAGCGTGCCCTGTCGGAGTATTTCGTCTTTCACCCAGACGGTAGAGCCAGACCGAGCGAGATACGACCAAGCACGACCAAGCACGACCAAGCACGATAGCACGATCAAGCGGTCAAGTGATCAAGCGATAAAGCGAAAAGCTTTAAAGCGATACAAGTAGAGTAACTGGGGCTCTGGCTAAGGCTGACGGGAGATCTTCGCCGGCGTAGAGGTGCATGAGCGCCATGAGGCTTCCCGGACCTATAGCAGACTCGAAACTGTTAGAATTTCAGGTATGTGATGTGCAGAACAGACGGATTGATTCTCCAAAACCTCTCCGGGGCCAGGTCCTAAATACAGTACAAAATCAGGTGGCTGGAAAACATGGTGGCTGGGATGCGCGGGGGCCACATTTCAACAGAAACATTGAGAAGATACAAACTTATGCTTGGGAAATCACTAAAAGTGGTCAGCATTACTTAACCTTGTCTACTGGCAATGCCCGTAAGAATTATATGCCTTCTTTGGTCAGCAGCCACAAAATGATCAAGGTCATCAAGCATGCTTCTGTCATGTCGCCGCGAAGCCTTTCCTTACTGCTCTTGACCCTCGCAAATCTACTGATACCCATATCTATCTTTATCTTTGCAACCGGTTTCTTTCCTTACAAACCTTTTATACCAGGCAGGGCCACCTTCCAGGACCCGAACAATGGCGGCCAACTTGCATCAGCACCGTTCGACAAGGTCATATTCATGGTGGTCGATGCGCTCAGAAGGTTGCCTCCCATTCTACATCAGCGTCAATCAATCACACTAATTCTCCTAGTGACTTCGTCTACTCTCCCGAGTCGGGCTTCAAATTTACTCAAGCGTGAGCTATCAGTGTGGTGCATCTAGTGTCTCTAGACGCTAATTTACTTTCCCAGCCTCATAAGATCCGGCGCTGCCATGCCTTTCACCGCCCATGCAACTTCGCCTACCATTACCATGCCCAGAGTCAAAGCAATCACCACCGGATCCATCCCCTCCTTCCTTGATGTAATTCTCAACTTTGCCGAGTCGGACACGACTTCCAATCTTGCAAGTCAGGATACTTGGCTCGCTCAATTGAAGGACAAGCAAGGAGGAAAGCTGGTCATGTATGGGGACGATACCTGGCTGAAGTTGTTTCCCGATACCTTTCTTCGTGTCGATGGTACTTCAAGCTTTTTCGTATCGGTCAGTGGTTGTTCTTTTAAGGAAATGTACAGTAGAAATAGCCGTACTAAGAGTCAATTGCCAGGATTTTACCGAAGTAGATCATAATGTGACGAGGAACATTCCGTCAGAGTTGAAGCGGAGCGACTGGAATGGCATGATCATGCATTATCTAGGCCTTGATCACATTGGGCATAAATCCGGACCACGAAGGTAGCCCTCATACGAGATCATGTTTGACCAGGAGCACTAATTCACCCAGTCCTCACATGGTTCCGAAGCAGTCAGAAATGGATGGCATTGTCGAACAGATATACAGAGCAATTGAGACGGAGGAACATCTCCACTCCACGCTCTTTGTCCTGTGCGGCGATCATGGCATGAACGACGCTGGGAACCATGGGGGCTCGGCAGAAGGCGAGACCTCTCCAGCACTGGTATTCATGTCCCCGAAGCTTCAAACCATTTCCCAAGGCTCCGAATCCCCGGTCGCCTTGCCCGAAGCCACGTTCAGCTACTACAACACGGTAGAACAGTCCGATATCGCCCCCACTCTTGCTGGCTTACTGGGGTTTCCAATACCGCTCAATAACTTGGGCGTGTTCATACCAGATCTCCTGGGCTTTTGGGAAAAAGGTTGGTGAGATCTAAAGAGCAATGTCCGCAAGGGGACTTCGGCTGATGACCCTTGTAGACGTAAGAGTAGGCCTTCTCTTGCAGAACGCTCGACAAATCTTGAATATTGTCCGCGGGGCTTTCCCCAGACTATCATTCAGCGAAGCCGAAACGCTGGATGACTGTACTTTGGCAATGTCCGCTGGAGAGACGCTGAGCTGTCTTTGGTTCGACGCAGCAAGCCTAGTAGATGTTCCCAGTCACATCGACACGGCTGCAGCGCTGCATGCGTTGACAAGGGTCAGTAACAGGGTGGGCCTTCATCTATTCGACTGCTGAATGATCGCAGTTCTCCAAACACGCTCAAGATGTCATGAGCAGCACTGCGAGTAACTACAATCTGTCGAGACTCGGTATTGGTATTGGTCTAGCCGCACTGGCAACGGTTGCAGGGACAGCGACTGTCTCTACAGCCTTGCTCGAAACCCAAGCGACCGGACTGTGGATCTCACTCGTTTTCACTGCATATGGAATCATGATGTTTGCAACCAGCTACGTTGAAGAAGAACAGCACTTCTGGTACTGGGTTTCTTCCAGCTGGCTTGGATGGCTGCTTTTGAAACGGTAGGACTTGCATTCGATCGTAAAGTGTGACTTGTTAATGTCGTACAGGCGCAATGCTGCGACGCTGCCAGGCTCGTTGGAGCTCTGGTTTGCAGCTTCGCTGCTGGTACTATTGCGAATCGTTCGCGCCTGGAATCAGACAGGTCAAAAGCATGCCGGGGAGCCAGACATCGCAAGAACTTTCCTCCCAGCACACAACATATTACTGTGGCTTCTTGTGCTCGTAACATATCTTGATGTTATCCAACGCCTCTCGAGGAGGGCCGTACCATGGGCCTCTCGCCACCTCGCTACAGCAGCTTCCCTAGCTTTAGGCATTGCAGCACTGGGATTCAAAGTTGCGTTTACGAAAGCTGATGCTCCAGAACTCCTCGAAGGCCTCGGATATCTTTGTGTAAGACCCTTCGAACAGGCATCGTTAGTAGCTCAGGCAAGAGCCATATTCACAGGTATTGCTATCATGATGGTGCTGACCAGCTTTCCTGCGGTATACCAAAGGGTACGGGGAGGGCGAGAAACCAAAGGTAGAGGTCAACTCAAGCCCATTGGGAAGTCCGCTCACTGAAATCACTCCAGATATCTCGCGGCCTGTCCACGACCTCTTCACACTTTTTTTCCTCACCCAATCCCGAGCCACCAACGTCCCCCTTTTTCTTTTGTTCGAAGTTCAATACCAAGCGCTGGATTCCCTTCGACTCTCGGGTATCGATTTGACATTGACATCTCTGCTTTTTCAACACGTATCATTCTTTGCCTTTGGCGGCTCGAACGCCATCTCCTCGATTGATCTTTCGAACGCTTACAACGGTATCGATGGATACAACGTAGTGGCTGTGGGTGTGTTGACTTTCTGCGGTAATTGGGCGGGTCCCTTGTGGTGGACGTCCGCAACAGCGCTGCTTTTGTCCCGGCGAGATAAGCAGCATCAGAAATGGATTCGGCATCTGTCCTTGCTCTCTACTTTTGTCTCGAGTAGCCTTCTGTTTGTAATGCTTGCATGTACAGCTTTGCGAGCGCATTTGTTCATCTGGACGGTCTTTTCGCCCAAGTATCTCTACAGCATAGCGTGGAGCATGGGGCAACATCTCTGTATTAATATTGGCTATGGTAGCCTGCTTTTCTGGATAAGCTCCTGGCAGATTGGAGCTCAATAATAGACCACATGTATAATCAATCATTGCAAGTCTTGGATAGCTCAGAATTCAGAGATGGGCTCTCAAAGTTCAGTTCAAACCTTGGAAAAGGTCATCAATAGCATTGACTGGCTTCCTCTGCCTCTGCCTCTTAGTAGGCGCTGACGATGCACACGGCTTGAAGCCAGCAATGGCGTTGCCAGGTTCTGGTTGCGGTGATTCAATCTCACCGTTTGCTGTTTTTGTAACTCCTGGGCCAGCTCCTTCCCTTTCACGAAGGCGCTTTTCCGCACCCCTACCGCGTTCTGGTCCGGTGAGAATGTCGAACGCAAGGGCGGGATATACCCCCACATCAGTCGCGTGGCTCGAAGTAGTTCTCCGCACAGCTTCACCAAAATCCTCAGACAGATTCAAAGGAAAATTGTCTTTGCTGTCCACAAGCTCCATTGCAGGATCCATTCGGTCTTCGGCTTGGTCAGTATAAGGGGCCACAAGTCTCCGAATTCTAGAAAGCTCTGCAACAAGTGTCAGGCCAAGCGATGAAAATTGACTATCTTGGATTAGTTGAGTGAAACACCTGAGGAGAGATTAGACCGGAGTCAAAGAGGCAACCACATTAACCCCTTAAAACTTACGCGTAGCACCTCGGCAGCAAGACTTGATACATGTGTTTCACGCGGGCTTGAGCACGCAAAATGTCTCTCGCTTGAATTTCGTGTATCAACTTGCTCAAGCAGTGCTTCAGCATGGAAAACCATTTCCACCACTTGGAGTGCCGATGCTGGTTCTTGTTTCGATGATGTAGCAGATGGAAGGTATGAGTCGCTACCTGCATTTGGGTAATTTCCAAGTCCATTCTTCAGAGATGGCCGTCACAATGATATCATTTGCGTAAGCCGGTTCCCTCATTATTCTAATTATGGCGCTGACAGAGATGATGGACAGCAGGTCGAGAAAATTGTCTCGCCTGTCCTTTAAAAATTCTGATTATTCTGGTTAGGTCACGTGCTTCCAATCCGAGTATGGCGAGCTACCTACGCTTTGATGGAACAGGCAATTCAGGAACTCCGTCAGGAGTCATAATGTGACTGGCTGCTCTGATGTGTTGAACAGCTACGAGTAAAATATAGTGACGAAGCTACTCAAGCGACGAGATGCCTCTATGTCTCTCCCCTCCAGCCACAAGCCATCGAACATCACGAAAAAATCCCCCTAGAGCAAAATAGAACCAGCGAAAGAAGCGAAATTTAATACCACATCACCGATAGCTGCACACTCGTGTATACAGCCCCTCTCAAACACATCAAGGCCTCCAATTCGATCCCTTATACAACTGAGATTTCTTTCTTTCTTGTTCGACGACACCAACAGGCCATTATTCTAGGGCAAAATGAAGCGACTGGTGATGACGGCAACGCTAGCTGTGACTGTCTCTGACGGCGTTCAAGGAAGCTACGGATGATGCAAGTCCGATAACATGATCCTTGGCATCGGGCGATATTCTCGAGCTAAGCGGATCTGCGCCAGACGCTTCTCCTCTCCCAGCTACAATGGAGTCCCTCCATAGTCTGGGTAGCACGGACCTCTGGAGCTCCCATAGGGACCAACGGCATAAAAAGCATTTGGCTCGGTTCTATAGTCGTGATGATGGTTTTCGTATGAATCCTCCATCTCGGCAAGCCGAGTGCCGCGATCATACTGGGACCGACGTCGTCGTTGCTCGTCGCGAAAGTTTTGACCGGCTCTGGGCGCGAAAAGCCCTGCAATCGAGCAGTCAGTTTGCAGAAGAGGCTGAACAGGTTTCATGCAACTGACCAACATGCTCTGCATTTTCAACACTCCGACGCATCTTTGATGGATTGTCTGGGCCTGGAAATTTGTCTTCGGTGCCAGCCTTGGGACCAGTGCCAGTGTGGTAGATCTTTCAAGACTTAGTCAAACTGGTCTCTCGATCGCAACAGGGTGAGTGTACCTTTGGGCGAAAAGACGGAAGCTCGAGCATGACGGAGCTATTGCGGAATTTCTGAACTAGGCAGTCTCTGCCTTGGATAGCTGCTACATGTCAGAATGAAACCTAGGAAAGCATGCTTGTAGAGCGAGCGTACTGGCATAGGAGACCTCGGCAACCTTGTCACTATTGTAGCAATTCCTAAGCCCATATCAGTGATTGTGCCGGTTAAAAAGATGTTGATAGATCGTTCTCTCACCAACGGTGGCCGGCTCTAGCATTCACGAACTGTATTTGGGTGAGCCTTCTATCTTTCATGTGGTTGTAACAACTACTAACATCGATGATGGAGTAAGGCTGTTCAATAATTAGCGTTCTGGAAGTTGATTTCCTAAAATTTCTACTTACGTCCTCAAAATTGATGAAAGCATAGCCAACACTGCAAAGGCCAAAGATTAGACCATTTAATAACATTGACTGCCCCAGCAGATTATAGAAAACTTACTTGCAGTTGTTTGCAAAATCTACGTTAATTTGATTAGCGGCAAGCGTCGAAGGACGAGCAAGAGAGCATACCAATCCGTAGATACATGAAGTCGTACTTGCCGAAGCTGCTTTCATCCACGATGTCCTTGAGCAGAGCCTAAGTAATGTAAGTTCAAGCGCGAGTATAGAGCTGTTCCACGATGTACTTGATCAATCTTGTTGGGGATATTTCTCAGCATGATCTGCCATTGATGATCAGCTTGTCTTGGAGATCGAGTAAGGAAGGAGTAAGTATTATACGGTTGTGCGAACATCGATTCCCCGGCGAATACGATCAATATCTACGATGTTATGGTGCCCTGACCCATAGTCGTGGGATTGACGCCCACCAATCTTGCTTTGGCCCCTATTTTGTGGGGGATAGTATCCTTGACGCTGATGTACTCGTAGAAGTGTGGGTGTTCCACGCTCTTGTCCAATAGCACCGGGGTTGAACGGGGACCAGATCGGCGATTGAAACCCTGAGTTCAAGAAAGGGCTGTAGTTTGGATTTGGACTCCAAATAGGACTCTGATTAGAGGTTCCGCCCACGTAGCCTTGGCCGTGACTGTGGTGAGACGATGGTGTATGCTGCTCATTGAAGTCTTTGCGATATGCAAGAGGCCGACTAGCGGGGGCCGAGTGAGGATGCTGAGAATTCGATGAAGAGCTTGAGGTCTCTGGACCATAGGCGTCCAGGCGATCAAACGGGCTCATGCTAGCAAAATCACTTTCCAAGCTCGTCTCCTGTCCTATAATAAGAGGACCAGGTGACTTTGACAGGCTTTGTGTTAGATCTTCCAGGTCAGGCTGGTAGGGAGCTATGCTCAAGGTACACATCTGCGTGAGTCAGCCATCTGCAAGTACCCGGTTTTGGGGGCAAATCTCACGGCGAAATTCGAACCATTCATACGCAACAAAGCGTTGTCGATTGTGTTGACGTTAGAGTACTCTGCTCGATAAGCCGCTACCGAGGCCTTTACTATGCCTAGTTCGAAGGCTATTATAGAGCCATACTTTTCAAGCGCCTCTTTGATGCGATGTCCAATCGCCACGACATCAAAGTTTTGAGGCAGTCCTGCGTACTCGGCCTTCACCAGGACTTGTCCCTCGTACTCTGAAACAGGAGAGAGCCGGAACTTCTCTGGATGAAATTTCAGGGCAAAATGCTTTGGTAAGATGTACTGAACGTCCCATTCACGGCGGTATGTTTTGATGGTTGAAAACGCTTTGTCACTGTCACGAATATCCGCAAATTTGACGTAGAATAGGCCAGTGACAGCCAACTCAGCAAACACGACATCATTCGGGGGTGAGGTGACATTGTGCTATGCCCCTGTCAGTCGTCTCACAGGAATGGGATTTCAACAAAAACTTACACCCAAAAGCTTTTCGATCTCCTTCGCGGAAGTAGCCTTACTCACTGGGCCCGCCATCAACGACCTCGATCTTGGGACATCGGTAGAGAATTGCCCCAGCTTGATGGATCCCACATTGGTGACCAGAGTGCCGAAAGCAGAGCCTGCCGGCTGAGTTGTGGGGGAAATGGTAGTGTTATTTGAACCAGATAAGAAACTCTTCTTGCCAATCGGACCGTATTGGAGGTTGTTTGAGCGAGACATGGGCGAAAGGAAATCCAGACCTTGTATACCGATACCGCAAATTGGAGCCGAGAGGGGATACTGGAATGTGCTAGAGCTTGAGGTGCCATTGCTAGAGACACTCTCGATCAAGCTCGTAGGAGTGAACGTGGAAGCATTGGGCGATAGCTTGGACCCATCGCCAGAGCTTTGAGTGTTTGAGCTCAAACTTGGAACCGAGAGGAAGGGATCTTGCGATCCAGGCAACGTGGAGTTGCCAGCTTTGCCATTCGGGCCGAAATTAGACTGTTCACGAGCAAGAACAAAGGGTGGTGGTACCCTCGCTCTCACGATACCCTGGTTAACGTGCTTGAGATCCTCAAGGACCTGATCTGGGGAGAAAGGAGAAAGCTTCGTTGCTGGGGTACCGTGGTGTGACTCGACCTCTTCGGATGAATTTGGGCTAGCAGAGGGGGCATTACGGTCATGAGTGCATGCCATGATTGTAAGGTGGGCCTGTTTGAGGGCAGGAACAGTATCTGTCTGGCAAATGGCAGCAACGCCAGGACAGGAAAGAAGGAGGTATAAACCGTCGTGGTCGTTTGAACGATGACAGAGACAAAGGTGTGCTAAGAGAAGCTTCTCACAGCTGGAGTCGTTTTTGGATATGTCCAAGGGAGAAGGCAACAATAGTTGCAAGCATTCAGTTGGCAGACGAAGAGTGTGCAAGAATGTGCATTAGGGGACACAAAGATGTATGGCAGAAGAGGGGCCAAGGGGGAAGGAAGGTTGTTCATCGATACGATACGGTACTAAAGAAGGCTGATACGGGATGGTGACAATCTCCATTCGGAGAGCCATCGAGTTAAAGCATGACAAATAAGGTAGCTAAGATACCTTGTCGTCTTACTTGTCATCGAACAAATCCGAGTCTCGGGCCATCACTGAAGAGGGGTTCTGGTTGAGGTGCACAAGCAAAACCCTGCTGCGTCTGGGCCCTCTCATTGCCCCAGGACAGTCTACAAGATTCAGGAAAGATCCGCATCACTGGGACGCTTTGATGCTTTAGCAGCTTCAATTCAGTCGGAAGCCCATTTTCCACCGACCATGAGGGCAAGCGTCGCGTTCAGTATTGCATTCACTGCACCGACGGAAGCCTGCTCTAAGGTGACACAGGAGAAGACATGTGTAGTGTTTACCTGCAGTTGGAGTTTTAGAATGCCGGAATCAAGTCAAAAGCAAAGCGTTGAAGTGAACGCATAGCTTGGGTTTGGATGAGTATCAGATGCTTTGGTTAAAGACTACGAGTAGTGACATCAATCGGAGATTGAGAAGAGAGAGGCAGGCTTGGTTGCGTATATGTACGGACGGAGGAAAGTACTCTACTAAAGGACGCAGGGAACTTCGGCTAGGATACTAGCTTTTTCTAAGCGCTGCGCCCGCCATCATCGGGATCGCTAAAGTAAAGTACCTTAGGGCAGCCCGGGCAATTCGTGCCGAATCGATGTCCGCGTACCTTAGGTACCTACATTGTTAGACTACTGTACTTTACTTACTTGATAGTTAGTTGAGACCGAGGGCCGCCTGCGCTTCTTAGACAGTGAAGGACTCCATTCGCGGAGTCCTTCAAAAATATTGGTGATGAGAATTCATGATCACATTGACAACGATATGCCCCATTTTCGTATCCCTGCCAGTGTCAACCTAGCACCCCTTGGTGGCTGAAAGCAAGCCGATATAATGATGCCGTCTGTAATTGATCCTCGAATGGAGCTGGACTATGCTGTGCAGCAGGTAAGTAGACATGCTATATCATTGATGAATGTTGTAGCCTGACTAACACCTACGCCTTACAGATTGTGCAAGCACCCTCCGACAACGAATACTTCAACCAGCTTCTTCCCGCAATCAAGGACGCAAGCAAAGGCGGCCAAAGTCATCAGCTTCTGCGATCCTTGACACAATACTCCGCAAACCGCGAGTCGGAAATTGAACGAATATGCAACACGAACCACCAAGGCTTCGTCAGCTCAGTCAATCAGTTGCTCCACGTACGCGAGGGGACCATCGGCCTAACCTCCGAGATCCTCGCTCTTAACCATTCCATTCAATCAAGCACCGAGAAGCTGGCTGAGCAGAAGAAGGCTCTTGTTGACTCGCGCGGGGTGCGACAAAATATAGACGAAGCTACCCAAGCTCTGCGTGATTGCTTGGATGTCCTTCGATTAGCCAATCAGGTTCACGATCTTCTGAGTAGAAAAAGTCGTTATTCGGCATTGAGAGCTCTTGATGAGCTTCAGAGTGTCCATCTCAAGGAGATAACGCAGTACAAAATTGCGGAGATGATCCAGAAATCAGTTCCTGCCACCAAGAAGCTCATCGCGGAGGCTGTGATGACGGATTTGAACACATGGCTCTTCCGGATCAGAGAGACCTCGCAATTCCTGGGTGAGGTGGCCTTTTACCATACTGAACAGAGAAGAACCCGGCAGAAGGACCGAGCGGAGGCACTACCCGACCTCAGCAATTTCAAGCTGAACTTTGCCATCGAGCTAGTTTCTGATGAGACCGAGGAGTTTGACATCCTAGACAATGAAGATGTCCAAGTTGACTTCACGCCTTTGTTTGAGTGCCTTCATATTCACAATGCCCTTGGCCAGATTGACAGGTTCCGCGCCGAATATGCTGCCACTCGAAAGCAGCAGAAAGAGCTGCTAATGCCTTCTTCCGTGACCTTGATCGACGCAGAAAGCGCAAGCCTGAGCGAGCTGTTGGAAGGCATTGCCGGCTTCGCGATCGTCGAGAAGGCGACGATGAAAAAGACGCCGGAATTGCGCTCTGCTGTTGATGTTGACGAACTTTGGGACTCGATGTGCCAAACAGCCATCACGCTTATCTCCAAGGCATTGCACGAGGTCACCAATGCTGAGGTGCTACTTAAGATTAAAGGCGTCATCGCGCTCTTCATCCAGACTATGGAAGTACGTGAAAACTTGGGCCGCAATTCTTTTTCTTGTCACGTTGCTGATGAGGCATAGTCTTGGAGTTACCCTGTGGCCGCTCTTGATGCTTTTCTTCTAAAGCTCTTCGAGAAGTATGCCGAACTCCTGAAAAGACGTTTCAGTGATGACTTTCAAGAGATTGTCTCGACGGACGACTACATGCCAATGCCAATAAGCAAGCTAGATGAGTATGACAAGGTTGTCAACGTAAGCTGGTACACACCGGACAAGCCACGCGAAGATATACGCTTCCCGTGCGTTCTTCCCTTCTCTCAGATGTATCCCCTGTGCTGCATCGACATCCGAAATTTTCTAAATCAATTCTACTTCTTCTCCGACGACCACTTTCAGCATCCAAGGGTTATCGACGAGACTCTCAAGACTTCTCTAGATGAGCTTCTCTCGGAAAGCGTCTGTCGACTACTGGTGGAAAGGCTCAATTCGCAGTATCTTGGACAAATCGTCCAAATCCTGATCAACTTAGAGCATTTCGAGATTGCTTGCCGTGAACTCGAGCCATTGCTTGCTGCTGCTAGGTCTAACGCTTCTGTTGAGGGAAGCGTTAGCCTTAGTGCTACAGAAGAGTTCCGTGGCAACAAGAAAACCGCAGAAAAACGAATATTCGAGCTCGTCAATTCAAAGATCGATGATCTTATCGGTACGGCAGAATATGACTGGATGGCACCCACGCTCGAGAAGGAGCCCAGCAATTACATGCAAACATTGACGAGATATTTGTCGAACATCATGAACTCCGTGCTCTTAGGACTACCTACAGAGATCAAAGAATTGATCTACTTCGATGCACTGAGCCACGCAGCAACTATGATACTGTCTCTTCCTCTGTCAACGGAAGTAAGGCGGATCAATCCTAACGGCGTGGCTGCGCTCGCCAAAGACGTTCAGTATCTTACTGAATTCGTGGATACGCTTGGAAATCCAATATTGCGAGAGAATCTGGACGAGCTTCAGCAAACTATCATGTTGATGCAAGCCGAGAACTCCGATGAATTTTACGACATTGCCACGAGAAATAAGAAATATGGAAGAGTCGATGCAATGAACGGCCCCATTCTACTCGAGAAGTAAGTATCGGCAGAGCTACGACAATGGGCCGATGGTTGCGCAATATGCTAATATTCGATAGACTCACCCACACGGTGCAGAGTCCAGCTCTTCTGAAAACAGACAAATTCCAGGCCCTGTCCTCGCGCTTTGGCATGAAGTCTTGATAGCGAGTAAGGCCAGGCTGAAGACTTCAAAGTCTAATGCTAGCCAGCTTTTGCCACATACGAGGTGAAGGATCCACGCCAACTACAATCGATTTTACAGGGCTCTTGTGACTGTTTTCGAACCCCCCGGATTCATCAAGCTGCATCCGGGAAAGCCTAAACGAGTTTCCAAGAGGCTACAATAGCTGTACCAAAAACAAGTTTGGACTCAGGTGACTTACTTCAATAGCATCATCCTGGCGAAAGATCAGTCGCTACTGTTCACCCCGACTCAAAATAGAACTCCATGCACATAGCCGCACCATAGTCCATAAGATTCGGGAGCGCAGGCCTTGCTTCAGTGTATGTTTTCATTACATGGTACATCTAGGCAGACTTTGAGACCTGACCGTCTTTAGATGCTCACATTTAGTATTTCATGCTGGCACAATATGATCGCTACGCCCTTCCACACCGTCGCTACAGTGATTTGACTCTCTTTTCATTCCCAGTGAAATCAGTTTGCCAAAGACACGGAGATACATGGCCTGCCCCGAAAAGGCGATTAACCGACTTCGTAATCTCGTTCACCTTCTGCATCTGCATCCCCTTCGCCTCCCTCGTGTCTTTGATATTGATGGCTCGTATTCTGTCCACCTGAAGGGTCCTGGCCCCTCTGATTAACTGGATACATCTTTCAGACCGTCAGCAATTATCTAGATCAAGGGCTAGGCAGCAGTTGACTTACTGGCTGTGTAGGAAGAGAGTAACTGTACAAACCCTCGAACATCTGTTGTGGTGGGTGGCCATAAGCGTTGGTAGGATCAGGTGGTACTTGAGGAGCGTATATTCCGGGCTGTGGCCTATACTCCTGCTCCTGTGCCATCTGGGCGTTCCCTAGCGAAGAATAGTCCGCATGGCCCATTTGCTGTGACGCTTGCTGAGGGTGGCCGGGTGGAGGTTGCTGTTGAACGTTGTTCGGGGGGGGAATGATTTGGCCGCCTGAAGAGGCTTGCGCTGCAGCAGAGGCCGCGCTTCCCCCTGCGCCTCCCTGACCTCCAGATCTTTTGGCGTGACTTGCGGCTTCTTCTCGGGGAACGATATCGATAAGAAAGTCAAACATGTCGGATTTTGCCAGTGCTGAAGCAATATCTGAACGCTGCAGCGTTCTACGCTTGTTTTCTTCAGCGTGAATCCATGCGCGCATCGTGAGCTCGGTAATGAAGATGTCGCATCCTTTAGCGAACAATATCGGCGCTTCAGCTGAAATCATTTTTACGTCCGGATCAGCCTTCATGACCTTCTTGATTCTGGCTAATGGAAGTTGATGGAGCTTGTAGTCATGGCTCTCATTCTCGAGGCTGTTGATGGTTTGCTGCCAGTAGGTCGTCAAAATATCGCGGTAGTTGCCACTGAGGCCTTGGCTGACCTAGAAGCTTGTCAGCTTTTGAGTTGCTAGCCATTTTACTCTCCCAGATCGTTCACATTCGCCCACGTCCCCGTATAGAATTCTGGGGATGTGAAGCCTGTTTGCGCTGCCACCTGTAGCAACGATGAGCCATGTGACGAGAGCTCATCTGGCAGACTTCGTTGTACGTACCGAAGCACTCGCGCCTATTGTAAAATGACAGGATTAGCTTGGAGATTCGAGTCTAGTGAATGGATTTTCCGTTCCTACTTGCACACAGAGAATGATGTGTGCCTGTGGACAGCACGAGAGGTAGGTCACATACCGTAATGTCCCCCATTGGCGGGATCATACCGTGGAAGTGGTGGCTGGTGCTGCTGTTGCTGCCCGGAGCCCGGTGGGTTCTGATCCATGGTTGACTCCGATTGTCGGGAAGTTGTGAAGAAATTGTGAGAGGAGCTGTGATGGGCGCGCAATCGCTGCGCAAGCCTGATTGGTAGAAGGCCGAATGCTGGGGGTTATCTTTCACGAGTAATTGGAACGTGTTTTTAGATAGGTAGAGACTCGGAGAGCAAGAGAGCACGACGTGAGCACTGAGCAGCGGGCACAAAGTCGCGCTTGCGCTGTCGAGGCGGACAACGAGCGGCCGGAGGTATGAGTGTTGTTTATTAGGATCTGTGTGAGCGAATCTTTTGGAGTGGATGAGGCGTTTTGTCTTTTAATCAAGTCAGTCGGAGACAGCAAATAGACGCTCGAGGATCAACCGATCAAGCGTAAGTATACTCTAAGCTTTCTAATTTCTAGGCTCTACCTTACTCTACCTACTTAGTAAGGTGCTTACCTATGCTGTAGCTTCTCAACGACTAAGGTTGAACCGTAGATGTACGTATCCCTGTTGGCGGCTAGAAGAGACAGGCGGGGTAAGGTTTTTAAGGTTTCAGCCTTTAGGGGGCAGACAATGACAATACCTAAGGTAAAGTAGGTAGGTAGGTAATATACACATATTTAAGGTAACCCCCACGCTGCACGTTGAAGTCATTCGTTGATTATTCTAGAAGCGCATGTGAGTGTACCCAACCATTGATACTACCTAGGTACCTACTATTGTCACTTATCCGGACTCTACTTTATCATCACTGACACTCGATTCTTTTGGGCATGATGAGAAGCCTTCTTATTCTTCCCTAGTCTATCGAATTCAATGAGACTTCGACTTCGTAATGCTCAACGTCTCTTGTTTCAAGTCCCCTATCCTGATGGCGCCGGTTCATCCGCTTCCGAGGAGCAAGCGACGTGGCGACCTGTTGTTGACCCACAGATACTAAAGTAAATCATTAATTCTACTCCTAGTGATTTCATTCTGGCGTATGAATAGGATGTCTCTGTGGCACCAACGGAGTCAAATTTTCGAGAGAGTAGGCCCGTAGCCACGTACTCGAGGTACTTTAATCGCGAAGCCACGCGCGTATTCTAGCTCGTTAAGTAGCGTGCCAAGCAAAACAGTGCGCAAATATTTCAGAAAGTGACCAGGTACCTACTTGATTGACTGACTCTACCCAAGGTGGAGCAACGTGGTCTGATCCAACACGTCATGGCTGCTCTCGCAGCTGAAGGTGTACTCGAAAGCGATGGCTGGGATCAAGACGAGCTCTCCGAAATGAAGGGTTTGCTTCAGCGAGCGGAACGACGCATGAGAAAGCTAGATCCAGCCGGCAAGCATACTATGAAAGCTACAAACTCGTACAGGTATGCTACTGCGGCTCATCTTCCCATGCTACAAATCTAATCTTCCGCCTAGATTACCCAAGTTGATTCCAGGCCCCATAGCGCAACCATACACAACCTCGAACGATGGCATTGCTCGAGCAGACCGGACCCGACTCGTTAATGACAAAGACAGGCAGATTACCGCCCGCCAAGTTGAAGATCTCGTCAAGGTGAAAGAGAGAATCAAGAAGGTGGGCAGCCATGCGTGTCTTCCCTTTTTCCGCCTATGACGAAAAAGTATATTTCCAAATTTTCTTGACGCAGAATCATCAGTCCCGTCTTGGGTACCTGCTCTGCACTCCTGAGAGTCTTTTCATAGTTACTCGGATGGCCTTCTACTCAAAAATCTCGTTATGTACACCCGGGGTGGAAAGCATGGTTAACGCATTTTCCAGGAACTGCCAACCGCGGGACCAGGCTGGTTCGACATGCCGCGGACAAGATTAAGCTCAGAATTAAAATCCGATATGAAACTCCTCAAGCTACGCAATGTGCTAGATCCACATCGGCACTATCGTTCTGACAATATCAGGGCTTTGGCGCCAGAATTCTCCCAAATAGGTCAAATCATCGAAGGTCCAACCGAATACTACAGCTCGCGGCTACCCAACAAGGAGCGTAAGAGGACACTTGTTGGGGAGATACTGGCCAATGAGAAATACACGGGTCGCTTCAAGAAAAAGTACAACGAGATTCAAGCGTCGAAGACGAGTGGGAAAAGAGCGTACTACAAGAAGTTGAAGGAGAAGAGATCTGGGGGCATACGCAAACTCTGAGGGTGACTGTACTCAGGGACTCAAAGATCACATTGAGAAAATTTCAGCTGATGGGTGAACGGGTGCTTCTGGGCGATCTAGCACCCTGATCAAGGCAAAGACCTTCAAGTCAAAGCGCTGGAGTTCTGTGTTCAGTGCGCATGGTATGCGTGTAGTATGTCTCGCACCAGCAGGCTCACCAGTTGCTGTGGTGCACCATCCTTAGCTTATGACGCCTTGGTTGAAAGATCTTCTCCTCACCTGAACTTCTCTTGCTGCTTTCTCACCGGCATCTAGCACCTCATCATGATTTGCTTTACCCTTCTCTATGGCTTCTCTCAAGTATTGACGACTAGAGCCCTGGATGTGAACATTATCCCCTCGTGGTCCGGCTTCGAGCAATGCCTTGTTGGTTACAAGACTGATTGCTAGTACTTTCATATCGCAGTGCCGTGCAACAATGACCTCTGGAACGGTCGACATCCCGACTACATCGGCGCCCAAGCTACGCAACATGCGGCATTCAGCTCTTGTCTCATAACTGGTGCCAATTAACCATGGTGTGGTATCATTAGTGGGAAGTCAGTCTTACCTGGGACCTCCGACGAAAGCATAGGTACCCTCCTGTAGGCGCCTAGTGCTCCCTGCGTCGCGATTTAGTTCCTTCCACAAATGGTGTGCGCGTCTTCTCAGATCAAGGTCATAAGCATCCGATAAAGCCGGAAAACGAACTCCAAAGTCGTCCGCGTTTGGCCCACGCAGCGGGTGTATGCCAGCAAGGCCAGCAAGGTTGATATGCTTACGTGGGTTAGATGGCGGTGTAAAGAAGATGCTTGAGCCTCACGTCGTTCAAGACCACGAGGTCTCCTACTCCATAGTCTTCATTCAAACCACCAGCGGCGTTCGTGACTTGGACAACCTATCAATAATGACAAACACACTTTGATGAGCTGCCTTACCAATGATCGTGTCTACGCCCAGACGTTTCATGAGCCGGATAGGAAATGTAATACTCTGAATTGAGTGCCCTTCATAGAAACTACGCAAACATCAAAATGAGCGGACTTTACAGAGCGAGGGTCGGAACAGGTAATTGACGAACTGAACCCTGCCAACCATCAAAACAACCGGTAAAGCACCAAGCTCGAGTATCCCGAACAAGAGCTTGCTAGCATGGCCATGGACTATCCCAATCAGCACGTTGTGCAAAATCGTATTTCCTTCTAAGTTCAGCGCATACCAGTACTTTGTGGAAAGTGGGGAATATCCGCATATGGGATTTCAAATCGTGGCTCCGGCAACACAACATCGGCCAGACCCTTCAGACCAGATCCACATATTATACCAATGACAGGCTGATGTAAGAGGGGGGGTACCTTGACTTGCAAGTAGCGTAGAGCCTCTGCAGTTTGCTGAGAAGTAGCGCTATCCATGGCTAAATATAAGGCGACAGGCAGTGCTAGGAAAATAGTCAAAGACTGGTTTACAGCATCATGACGCTGAATCTAATTGCAATGTTTCCCATGCAATCTGATGAACTTTCCAAAGGTGTCTTGGTGAGTATGAGAAATTCGAACCCTTTAAGGAGGTTTAGTAACATTTTTCATACCATTTTTCATAATCGTATCTTCCCCCATTTGCGCCATCTTAAATCCGATAAATTCGATATAGATAGCTATTACTATTATAGCTATTACTATTACTTAACTAATAATCTACTATTCTAATCTATTATAATAGCTAATATTACGATATTATAATTATTATTTATAGATCTAATATAATAGATATCTCTATTTAAGATTTAAATTTAATATTTTTAAATTTAATTAAGAAAAAGAAATTAAAGAATATTATATCTTTAATAACTATATCTCTTATAGTTATATCTCTTATAGTTATATCTCTTATAACTATATCTCTTATAATTATATCTTCTATAGTAAACTTATTATTACTATTAAATCTTACTCTATTTAAATAATTTAAATAAAGAGATAAAAAAGAAGTTATAATATTACTTCGCTATAATAACGAGCTCTATTATAATAATAATCTCGATTAAAGTTTATATTATAAAGTTTATTATAATAATAATAGTAAATTAAAGAAGATAAAAAAGATAAAAGAAATAAAAGAAATAGAAAATAATAGAAGAAGAGATAATAAAAGAGATAATAACTTAATAAGTTAATAAAAAAAATTAAGATATAATAAATCGATAAAATCTAAAAAGTAATTATTTTAATTCTTCGATATAGAAGTATTAATAATAATGTTATAAATATAGTAGAAACGAAGAGATAGAAGATAACGCTATTATAGCGTCTTAATAGATAGTACTTTCTAGTAGATTTCTTTATAGAATCTTATTATCTTATACTTAACTTATAAATTTATAATAGTAATAGTAATTAATTTTCTATTATTATAATAATAATAGTAATACTCGATTTAGTATAATAAGTATTATTAATTACTTATTATATATTATATAATCGATATATTAACTATTCTTATAATACTAGATTCTATCTCTTCTTTTACTATAATTCTTTCTATTTTATAAAAATCTTACTTCTTTAAAACTATCTACTTTCTTAAAATAAGAATTATTCTTTTATTACTATACTCTTATTAAGCTAACTTTATTACTAATAAAAGATCTTATTAATATTAATTATTAGATCTATAAATTTCTCGTAGTAATAGATTAAATCTATTATTACGAGATTTCTAAGTTTATTAAATACTCTATTAAGCGGCGTTTAAAGATAAATAATATATATATATAGAGTAGATTATAACTATAAATAGAATAAAGAGTAGAGATCTAATAATAAGAGTAACGATAGAGAAGACTAGAGAGATATTAAGATACGATATCGCGTAAATAAAGAAGATATATTAACTAACTAAGATTATTAGAAAAAAAAGTTTAATAATAATATATAAAATATATATCGTAATATTTAATATAAAGAGTTAGATAGTAATTAAAAAGAAGATTAAAGATAATAATAAAAATCTTTATTTAGTATTAATAATTATTAAAATATATTAAATAAATAATTTTTAAATAATAATAATAATAATAAATAAATTAATAATAAATTAATTAATTATAAATACTATAATAAAGAGTAATAAGATAAAGAGAGTTAAGAGATATAATTAGATAATTTTATTAACTTAATACTTTAAATATTAGAAGTATAAATATATTAGTATATATAAAAGAATAAGATAGAGCTAAGCTTGAAAACCTTGAATTTGTGTGTACAGCCAATTATCAATTCGGGTTCGCTACGCTCTTTGGTTAGACCGGCTAACTTATCGCGGGTAAATAAATTAGCGTCCGCAACTATCAAAATCTCGCCCTCCCACACCTCCCTCATCAAAAAAATAGGTGTACATTATTGACATATAGAATTACTTTTTTGTTTTCTATTAAAATTTTAAGATTTTTTTTTTAATTTTGAAGCGCTATTTGTGCTTTCCGAATTTTTAAGAACTTTGAAATTTAGTCTTATAATTATTAAAGCGCAAGGAATTCAAATATCGCTTACCAAAGTTCGCTCGACAGCCGGACAGCCCGCTCACCAAAGTTCGCTCACCAAAGATCGCTCACCTATTCACTCGATAGCCCTGATTAAAAAAATGATTATGAATTTAATTCATAGGCCTTTACTCGTATTTATATTATATAATAATAAGATTTAATATATTAGTATATACAAGTAAAGGCCTATGAATTAAATTTATGAAGTTGGATTTTTCTAAGTTAAATCGAATTTTAGCCCTAGTCCTAAGTTAAATTAAACTCTAATCGCTTACTATACGTTTTTAACCTACTTTCATTACTATAAAATTAATTTAATCTATATAATATATAGATATATATATACGAAGAGAGGCGCGCTAAGATCTAATTAGAAAGATATATCGAGTATAAAGAATTAATCCGTAATAATTACTTATAAAAAATAGAGAAAGACTATATTCTTATAATAAGAAGTATTAAAATATCGAAAAGAAATAGAGATAACGTATTAATTAGTGATATGAATTTCATAATATCTTCTATTATAGTGAAATTTTTCGAATAATAAAATAGCTATAGACATCGAATAGTTTTAATTCATTTAAATATATATTATTTAATATTTTTTCTATAGAGATCTAATTAATTATAATAGTAGATTCTTCTCTTATAACGTTATTATAGTAATATATTATATTAATATAATAAGAATAATAGACTAAGTTATAATAGTATTCTTCGCTTATTAAGTAATAATTTAATATAGAACTATAAAGAGTATATAATATGAAATCTTAGAGAGCTAAGCTATATTCTTAATACTAAGAGCCTTATTACTACTTAATTTCTTTATAATATTCTTTATAATATTCTCCATAGTATTCTTCATATTTATCTATTATAATTTCTTCTCTTACTTTTTAATATAGTAGAGATAATAGACTAAGTTATAATAATATTCTTCGCTTACTAAGTAATAATTTAATATAGAATTATAGAGAGTATATAATATAAGATCTTAAAGAGCTAAGTCGTATTCTTAATATTAAAAATCTTATTGCCACTTAATTTCTCCGTAGTATTCTTTATAGTATTCTCTATAGTATTCTTCGTATTTATCTATTATAGTTTCTTCTCTTACTTCTTAATATAGTAAGAATAATAAATTAAGTTATAATAATGTTCTTCGCTTACTAAGTAATAATTTGATATAGAATTATAAAGAGTATATAACGTGGAATCTTAGAGAGCTAAGTCGTATTCTTAATACTAAAAGTCTTATTATCGCTTAATTTCTTCGCAATATTCTTTATAATATTCTTCGTAATATTCTTCGTATTTATCTATTATAATTTCTTCTCTTACTCTTTAATATAGTAAAAATAATAAACTAAGTTATAATAATATTCTTTACTTATTAAGTAATAATTTAATATAAAATCGTAAAGAGTATATAACGTGGAATCTTAGAGAGCTAAGCCGTATTCTTAGTACTAAGAGTCTTATTGCCGCTTAATTTCTTTATAGTATTCTCTATAGTATTCTTCGCAGTATTCTCCACATTTATCTATTATAGTTTCTTCTCTTACTTCTTCTCTTATAGAGTATTAGACTAAATAATTAGCTGAGTAATTAATTAAGTGAATAACTAATATAACGTGAGATCTTGAAGAGCTAAGTCGTATTCTTAACGATAATAATCTTATTACTACTTAATTTCTTCGTAGTATTCTCCGCATTTATCTATTATAGTTTCTCCTCTTACTTTTTCTCTTATAGAGTATTAGATTAAGTAGCTAGCTAAATAACTAATTAAGTAAATAATTAAATAACTAATTAACGATCTAACTAAGTAAATTACTAAGCTAATAGAGTAAATAGTATCATTAAATAATTAATCGAGTATCGCTAACTTAAGAGAAGTATATAGAGGAGAACGATAGCTATAAATCCGTTCGAGCTCTTTTTAAAAGTCTTTTAACGCGTTTATAAATAGATAATATATAGATAACGCGCGATATAGCTAATAAGTCTTATTAAAGATTAAGTAAAATCTAAATAAGAGTTAAAAAATAAATTAAAAAGATATAAGCTATTAAAAGGATTGTTATTAAAGAAATCTAATAATAAATCTTATAATAAAGAATTTTCTATATCGTCTTTCTCTTATTTAAAAGCTTCTTCTTAACGATATTTAGAATCTAATATATATTAAGAGACTTCAAAATAGAGTAATAAAAAACGAATTAAAAAGAAAGACGCGTTTTAAAAAATAATATCGCCTAAAAATATTAATAGAAGCTCTAAAAGGCGAGTAAAGAAATATATATATCTTAGATATTAAGTAATCTTTAGACGAGGGATATCGAAGACGATTATATTTATATTAATAAAATTAATAGAATTAATAAAATAATAAAAGAAGAATAGTTATATAAATAGATAAAAGAATTATTATTTAATCTCGAACGCGTTTAATATAATTATCATAACTATTATATTTAAATATTTATTTAATCTATTAATAGTAGATTAAACTTTATAATTTTTATAGCGTTAGAAAGCGTAAAGCGAGTTTTATAATTTGAGGAATTATAAAGTAATTATATATATCGTAAGTTAAGTACTTTAAAGTATAAAACTTCTATATATAAATTTTTAATAAGGGAGATATAGAAGAGTTATTAAGCTAACTTAGTCGATCTAATTAAAAAGCGTATAAGACCTAAATTTATAATTAGCTATATATATAAATTCAAGATTTTCAAGCTTAGCTCTATCTTATTCTTTTATATATACTAATTATTAAACTTTTCGAAATAGAGATTAATAAGAATAAAAGTTTCGGTAAGAAAGCTAGAGTTAATATCGGCTTCGAGAGAAATAATA